GGAATGTGGTCAGGATGAGTATTGGATATATCTCTTTAGTTACAAAGAATGCTGCATTACATTGGGATTTAAGAACCAGAATTTGTAATTATACCCAGCCATCTTGTCTATGAGTTTTCCATAAATGTCAAACTGCATCGTATTTTTTAAGGGACTTGAACTTCCATGGATTTTGGTATCCAAAGGAGAGCTCTGGAGGCCATCCCCGTGGATACCAAGGAACATCTGTGTAAGATTGGCGAGGGCTGCGTGCATGGATACAGATATGCACAGGCATTATCAGAACGTTAGAAAATCCAGCTGCCCTGTGCACCAGGTTGTCACCCCATCCTTTCTCAAGCAGCCTGGACTTTGCCTACTGTGGTGTGTTTTGGTCCCACCACGAGTAGGGACAGCTCACTGCATGTGCTGACCTTGCACACTAGGAAGACAACATTCACTAAATCTATTCCTTGTTTTATTTTTCAAATCCTTTTGGCCCCGAAAGTAGTTCAGAGATCAGGTTGTTCAGAGTCTGTACTGTTCACTTGGCAAGCTCTGGCCCAGTCTGCATTAGAACATTTGCTTTAATCATTCCTGCAACTTAATAATTCATGTTAGTAGTAGGTAGTACCAGTAGCATAAAACAAAATAAAGTAGAACAGATATGGGCCAGAGGAAATACATCGAATTGTATGTTATAAAGGAAAATATCAAAGGTAGGAAGGTTCTCAAAGAGCCAAAATCTCAAACTTATTATTTGGCTGACTGGTAATGGATAACCAGTCCAAAGAGAATGTTCTGGCTTCTAAAACTCCATTATCGTAACATCTAATTTCTGTGCTGTCACCAGGAAGGTCTGAAGCCTCTGTTGTTAGGGGAATTAGTATGTCAGCCATTTAAAGTGGCTGTTTTTACGCTAGTGGGAAGGCTGTCAGCCTGAACCCATTACACTATTGCTGCTGCTGTGGCAACTATATAAGCCCCTTTGTAATGGTCCAGAAGAGAGTGAAATGGAAATTAAATTGTTATACAGGGTGTGTACATGTTTGAGCATGAGTTTACCTTTGAGAGGTTTCCCTGCACAAGGTTTTAAGGCAGACTCATATTTTTCATAGCTAAACAATGTTCTAGGCTTATCTGGAGACTGGAAAGGGATTGTGCTTTGAGGTTTGATTTGAGAAAATATTTACTGCCTTAAAAAGAGATTCTCTCAGCCCACAAGCTACTTAACCAATGTGTTCATAATGCATGCTGTAGCTGTGAGTATCAGTAGACTACTTAGCTTCATGGACTGTGTTTGCAATTTTTTATTAAATGCCTTGGCATCCCAGGTTTCTCTGTGAGCCAGCCTACTTTCACAGGGCCCCCAGTTTGCTGGATTGCTAGTCATTAGGTGGTACCCCATTCTTTCATTTGTGCCTCTTCACTGGCTTCATTATCCATCTCACCCTTGACCCATTTCCATTCTTTAATCATCTTACTGCTTCTGAATAAAGACCCAACAGGAAAGGAGAATGTGAAGTCAGAACAGAAATCTTTAGTTCATGATCACTTTTACGGGGAATTAGATTTGATCACTTTTATTGGAAATTAGATTTAGTAAGCATTTAAACACCCATTTTGCAATATAGCCGACCTAGGAAAAGCTTTTCTGCCTTACACTGTATGCCCATATTTTTCAGCTGAGAAGAGTACTCCCTGGAAGTATTTTTATTTCCTTTTTTCCTCCTCTAGTTTGTAAAGGAATTTTCTCCTTAGCTTTAAACTTTGAAGATGAAGAGGCTTAGTATAGAAACCTCCTGAACAGCTGATGTTCAGAACTGAAATTAAATCTGTATAACAGCTTCCTTCCAACCGCAGAAGTAAGCAGAAGCTGCAGAAGCTCACCACGTGCATCAGCAGTAGCTAAAGCTTTGCTCATACCCTTGCCCCCAGCTCACCCCTCCAGTGTTAAACCAAACTACGTGATCAGAACTCTTCTGTCTTTGGGTCTTTGCAAAGCATCATTAGTTCTTTCAAAGCATGCTCTCCCCACTGATTTCGATGGCAGTTTCTACCACAGAGAAAGACATTGGGAATTCTGTTAAGATGATGGTTAAGTCCTGAGACAGGCACCCCCCAACAGGGCCTTCATGCCGCAAGCCACTCCCAACCTCAGCCTGCCCAGGTGACAGGGACATGCACAAGCCTACCCAGCACACTCAAGGAGGTCTCAGCACATGAGCACAGACCTTTCCCATGTGGGTCCACTTGAATTACTGCTGCACCACTGTATTGAAGCTTTGAAAATGGAATTTGAGATGAGGAGAAAGGCCCAACATTTCCCTGGCTTCCTCTCAGTAATAATTCCAAAATGTTAAAAATCAAGTATAAATTATTCCAGTTAGTTCATTAATTGACAAATCCTGTAACCAAACAGATGTGGGTCTATGACTATGTGTGAAGAATTGGATTGGAAGTCAGGGGATTTGGCAGTATGCACCATCATCAGCCCCTCCCTTGATTATCCTGCCTTCAAGCCCCACCTGGTTGGGATGGACATGCCAGCCCCATCGGGGACTTTGAGCCCTGTAAATAAAGAGACTAAATTCACTCAAACAACTGAGTTTGAGATTCTAGTTTTCTGGCAAGAAGTTTTGTTGTACATAATACCCAATTGTGCAACCAGCTTCCTCACTGCTTCTCAGTGGACATTTCCAATGGTACTCCTAGAACATCTCCTGCACATCCTGCACACGATGTGGAGAGCTGAATTGAGACTCTGAGATGAGCACACATTACTTGACATTTGCAGTTTCTGGATGCCCGCCATACCCAAAAGCCCTGGTCCCCTTTTCTGCCCTGCCTCCTCTCCATGGTGACTCCCTTCCTCCCTCCTTTCCCGTTGTGTTTTCCAGGTTTTGTTAGCTATGACAATCCAGTCTCTGCACAAGCTGCTATCCAGGCTATGAATGGCTTTCAGATCGGCATGAAACGCTTGAAGGTGCAGCTGAAGCGCTCCAAGAACGACAGCAAACCTTACTGATCCTAACCCCAGAGGCTCCCTGCTCTTACTTTAGCTTTCTTAGGGTAAGTCCCACGAGCCAGCCCGTTCTCAACAGGGAAGGCAGAGGAGGACCACATTGCCAACTTTCACCAAGAGAGACGGTTATTTTTACAATAAGGCAGCCATTGCCCCCACTATTTCCCCTACCCAGTTTGCCATAATTAAAACTTGGGCTACCTTGTTTCTATTGAGTAAATTCCTCCTCCAGTTGTGCCACTGTACTCTCCTTTGTTTTGCAATTTGAATCTCCTCTTACCTTTTTTAAACTTTTTGTTTTGTTTTCATTTTTGCTTTTTTAAAGACAAACATACACGAATAAATGACAACTTGAGAATTTAAAAGGCAAACAAATGCTAATGTGCAATTCTAACTCTGAAACCACTGGTGCCCCCAGAGCACTGCCTGGAGAATTCACCCCTCCTTGTCCCGCGCCGGCCCTCCAGAGGGCCCCAGTTTAAAGGTTAACGTGGTGGCCTAGTGAGAGGGAGAAGCCAGGAGAAGCACTTACTCAAAACAACACAAAACGTCTTTCCACTACATCGATTTGTTTTAATAAGTAGGATTTTATTTTAGGGTTCAAAGAAACATGACATTTATTGGTCAGGTTATTACACTGGTTGTCTATTTTGTTACTGTTTTATTTTAGTTTTTAGAAAGGATTAATGTAAAAAAAAAAGATTTAGAGATCTGTTTCTTAATGCTACAGGGTTTAAAAAAATAAAAATGAGTAAAAATACTTGAATTTTCTTGAAAGATAAATTTAAATAAATAAATAATACATAAATAAAAAAGAAAGCCACAGGCCTGTAAATTTTATTTGTAAAAAAAGCACTTCTATTTTTATACAAAATTTTTACTGCCTCAGAAATAATGGAAGTTATTTATTGCCTACTGTTAACTTATTGGGTACAGAAAGAGCAGTTCTCTGTCTAGCTAGAACCTTCTGAAGTAGTCTCTAGAGGAATTGTTCTAGGAATGGGCTTTTTTTCACCGTTGAACCCTAGACCTAAAGTTCATGCTTTATCCTCTCGTTGTTTGTATCTGTCTGATTATTTTGTTCGTAACTTCCATTATCTAGTTTACAGTTCAGTCGTCTGACTTTCCCCGTTTGTCACATTTGTTGAAACTGGACCCTCTCCCCTGACCCTCGCCAGCCCCTCACCCCAAACACCCGGAATCCATCCCCTCTCACTCTCTCCAGATGGATTCTCTTGGGGTTTCATTGTGCTGTGGATAAAGAGTGTAAGAAATGCAAATTATGTGAATGGCTCGTAGACTCCCTAATGACCTAAGATTTGCATTAGTTTTTCTCCTGCACCCTTAAAAGTGATTTTGTTGCTGCTGCATAGATTTCTGTGTAACTTTTTACTCTTCCTTGTTTTTTCCCTAGACATCTTCATGCCCGTTAGTTCATCGTTTGCCTAGCATGTCCCTGTGGCGTCTCAAAAAAAGTTTCATCGTCCCGTCATTGTTTCTGATGTCTTTCTGACCTCACATCATATTTGGTTCTCCTACTGACCTTTGATCTAGTTTGACCTTTGAAATTTGCATGTGACCTCATCTAGCTATGAATTCTGGGAAGTCAATGTGAAAAACATTGCTGCATTCATGCAAGACTGAAATTTATTATTAGACAAATTATTATAGAAAAAAAAAACCTGTGGCAAAAATGTTTCTTTCTTATTTTTTTTTTTCTTTTCATAAAACAGACTTGAAAGTATTATACAGGGATTGGCATTCTTCCCGGTCACTGGTAACAATAGCAATATGTGTCCAGGGACACAGAATGTTGGTTTCTAACAGACTACTTCCAAAAACAGTTTGAGAAAAAAACTGTCTGATTTTAAGTCTCTAGAGGTCTGTAATAGTTTTTACATTTTTCAGGCAGTGTAAAGTTTTTTGATAAGGCCATTTTAGGTGGCTCACTTTCTCATTAAGATATATATATAGAACCACTTTTTGTAGATTAGTATAAGAAAAATATTTACCCTGTTTTGGGGCAAATGCTACCTATTTGTGTCACCTTTTGCTGAACTGACTCACAGTTAGACAATCCATGGTTTAATGCACATGAAATTACCTATATTTTATACTGTTTCAATGTACAGGAGAAAGGTTACTGTAAACTGTGTTATGTTGGTGCTTCCGTGAATTAAGTTGTGGTTTCATCATGAGTCTTATGGTCTTAATGTTCTTTGTTGATAAGACAAGTTTAGAATTGGTTTACTTAAAACAAAAAAGAATTTCAAAAAAAAGTTGTTTGCTTAAACAAAAATTTCATGTGAGGGGAAAAAAAAAAATCTATTCCAGAAAAAGTTTTGTGTTGGCTTGTGAAGCATTGATGTCATTTTTCTTTTTTATTGTGGACTATTTAGATGTGTTTGTGTTCAGCAAAATGTGATTTTTTTTTTCTTTTAAAGAAAAAAGTGAAAATATATAGTGCCAAATTCCAAAGGTACTTCCTTCCTAGAGCTTCAGTGTGTTTCTTGTGAGAAGTAATTTGATAACATGGGTATTTTATTATGTGTTTTGTATAAATCCCTAATATTTAAAAAAACAAAAACAAAAAAAAGAGGTTAAAAAGTTTGTTAACTTGCTATCCTGTGGTCTTGTTGCCTGATATTGTTATTGTTTGTTATTTCTCTATGATGTTTTTTGTAAGACATTGTATAAGTGCCCATGTCTCACTTTTTTAACCACTCTACACATCAATGCTGTGAAGGCAACCTCACCATGTACTTTCTTCATAATATATGGAAACCTCTAAGGTGAGAAAGTTTTGAACTTTTAACCCTTTCTACCCAGAGCTATCTGGAATGTTGATAACTTTTATACTGTCATCCTTTGAGTTTGTGTCGGGATGTTTCTAATTTGGTCTCCCCCCCCCCCATATATCTCCTGAGTTGTTTTTCGGTTTTACTATTTTTGTGTTCTTTGCTTCAGATCCAAAAGGAAAAAAAAATTTGTTAAAGCACAAAAGGAAAAAAAAAAAAAAAAAACTTCACACAAGACAAATCTGAAAGAAAAAAATATCATTTTAATACTCTCCCATTTTTTGCCCTGTACCTTTTTTTTTTCTTTCTTTTGATTATTCCTGGTCATTAAAAATAATAGTAATCCCTAATATGCTGCTGGAATACCTTCTGCAGTTCTCATTAAAAACAGTTTATCTGGTAAGCCCTCTGAGGAGAAAAGTACTTCAAGTTAGCACCGAAATAAACCTTAAAAGTTCTGTATGCTTTTCAGATCAGATTATGTGGTACGTTCTGGTGTAGAATACCTTACAGTTCAACAAGTTTGTGGTGGAATAGTCTTTTGAGGCACTTTCACTTTCATATTCTAAATAGTCCTAAATAAAGTTTCCAATCAGCCATGTGCTGGGGACTCTGTGACCCCAGTGGATACCTCAAAGACACAAGGTATCTGGAGTTAGAAGCTGATAGTCCTTTCCCCGCCTTTATTATTATGATAATTTAATTAAACTCATTTAAAGGGGACTGACCAAATAAGTAAATACAGTTCAGCTCTTTATAACAGTTACTGACCAAATACCTAACACCAGTTCCTGCTGCCACTTTTTTTAAAGTGCCATATTACTTTGACTTTCTGTGAACAAGTATCTTGCTGTCTTGACAAACCCTCATGTCATACCTACAGCCCCAGCAAAACTCCAGCCTTCCTGAAAGCAGGCCCTTGGAAGCATCTTGGTCTCAGCTCCCTCTCCCTCCTCACCTTTTTCCCACTCACCACCATTTAGTTCAATGTGTGTGGATGTGATAGCCTTGGGATGGAAAGGACTAGCCTCTAATGATGCAAAAAAAAAAAAAAAAAAAAAAAATATTCCTTCTTATAGCACATGCACTTATAATGAAATGATTTGTATTATCCTCACACGTGTTTACTACTGCTGGGGCCTTCCTTCATCCTTTGAGGGCTATTTTGTACTTCCTGCAGCGATCAGCTTAATAACAAAAGTTACCACACGTCTCTCTCACATATACTACATGGTGGTGTGTAAATACATACATAAACACGAGAGAATACCATCTGAATTCCTCAGATCATTTCATTCAGAATCTCATTTATCACCTACATAGATTAATTTTTTTTAAATCTGTTTTCTTCATTGAGGCAAACGTTCCTGCTACCCTTTGTCCCTCCTGACCCCCGTACCCATTTCTCCCCTGAGAAGACACTGAGTGCAGCTGACAGGAGGCTCAGGGCGGGCACTTGGCATTGAGTGCTCTTTCTTTTTGCAGGCAATCAAGACAGTGCATTTGGGGGGAAAGTTCGTTCGTTCGTTCTTTCTTTTTTTAGTGTTTCATTGTTAAAACGATAACCCTTCTCAGAGACAAACTATCTTTTTTTATCCTTATTTTCCACTTTATATTTTAGTACCGAAAAAGCTGCAAGGGTGCAAAGGGCCTGTGCCAGAAGAAAAAACACACAGGGAAACTGCTTTTTTAGATCAAGTGTAGAAAATAGTCATTTTTAAACTAAATTAGAGAATTGTGATAAAATGGCAGTCCTCAAAGGCGTAACAAGTTCATCTTTCTTTCACCATAGGGGTTACAGTTCTTTGGCTTGTGCTACTCTGGAATCATTTTACTGTTTCTGTTTTTATTATCTTAAGTGCTAATTAAAAAGAAATAAAATTTTAAAAAAACCTGTAGTTTCATTACCTTTTTGAATAATGTCATACAAAAAATGTATTTGTGTTTTTTTGTGCTGTGAGAATTGTTGTTTGTAGATTAATAATATCATTTTGTTTAGAATTACAAAATAGTTTTTAAATATTGTCTGAGAAAAGCCAAAGTTAATGCAACCTAGTGGAAACTGTAAGACCATTTGAGTATTGTTTGTTTTATTGATGCATTTGGATTTTGTTGTTTGATGGAATTTGAGCCAAAAAAAAAAAATGCGCAGGCTTTCCTATTTCTACAACTGATTGTACTTATGCATTTTGTACCAGTGGAACTTTTTATACTGGAGATTAAAACAATGGAAATTTTTGTGGCTTACTCTAGTGGGCCCCCTGACAATGACTGATTTCAAGTTTGATTTCTGGTTGATAGAAAGAAAGTTGCTTTTCTTTTGAGAATTAAAAACTTTGGCTTGATTTCTTTTTCCCTTTGCTTATATCTAGCATTAGAATTTTGTCTTAAAAATACAGCGGTAAGTTTCACTTTTTATTCTGTATCGTGCAGTTACACAATAAGGTAATTAGATTTAGAAGTACTCAGTCACTTTAAGTGGATAAATGTATTAGTTAAACTTTAGGGGTTTGCTTTTTTGCTGTTTAGATCAAAGTTTTTTCCGATTCTTCTGTCCTCATTGTGAACATAATCGTGTAGTTGAAACAGTCAAACTTATTTTTGTAATGTATGTTATTGTGTGATGCGGTTTTTTGCTTCTGTCTCCAATATTAAACCATTTTCCTAATACTTGTTTCTCTCTCTGCGTGTTGTATTGTTGGTAGTCATTATATGTTGGTGATACATCTACACACCTCAGTGTTTCACGTATGTTTTTTTCTCTATGTTGTGTAAAAAGATACAGTCGATTCCACCTAAGTGAATATCTGATTTGGGGAAAGGGGAAACTGCACATCAGTCACCTTTTAGTTTTACACAACAGCCCACTTCAACCACCGCTTCTAAGATTTATACATCCTTGTCTATGGTTCACCTAAATAACCATCTACAGGTTGGATCTGCAAAGACGTTTTACAGCCTTTTGACCACACAGGTTAATTTCACTTTCTTTCCTGACCACACTCTCCCCTTCTCCATCCCTCATGAGTTTATACGTGCAGTTGCTACTATTCATTAAAAATGACTGCTGCATGACCTTAAGGAGAAGAGAAGCAGCAGACCTGGGGTTCGACTACCCACAAGTCCAAAGGCATGTCCTTATAGTCAAACTCTTCTTAGAAACTTAAGAAGTGAGCTCTCAAGGGAAGACAAAACTGGTGAAGAGAAGGGTTAAATTTAAGACCATTGTTGTCAAAAAAAACAGCTATAGAAAAGTAGCTTAAATTATTTCTATGGGCTAATTGAATCCAGAAGCAGCTTTAATGATTGAAACTAAGAGAGGAAAAAAGAAATATTTCCAGTGCTCAGATGGAAGCCCCGTTTGGTTGGAAGGGGGTAGTAAGTACACTTCTCAAGTCCTCATGGTATACTCTCCATTTTCAAATGAAGCCCATGATGCCATATACATCCACATGCTGCCGCCTGAATGAACGTGTAGTTAAGTCTTCTCCCTACAATCACTCCATCCCTGGTTCTTGAAGCGAGAACAACATTCCTTTTATGACCTCTAAAACTTATGCCACAGGCTCTCCTTTCTTTTCTGCCCATCGCCTATGCTCAGGAATCTGACTGCTCTTAAAGTGCTCTTAAAAGATTCCATCCATGTCTGCTCCCTACGTCTTACCTCTCCTTCCAACTTCTCAGACGCACAAGCTTGGTCTGACTCAGGCCCCCGGCACCGGGCAGCCTTCCTCTGGGTGCCAATGAGGTTTCCCTGTAGGTGCTCCGGCTCTTCGCCCTCTGACTCAGCAGCCCCGCTGGTCCCAAGATTGTATTTTCTAGTCGGCTCAATAGAGGGGCCTGTGACATGGAGGGCGGGAGGCTTTCTCCATGGGCTGAACACCTCGGTGACAGTGACTGCCACCAGCTCCACACCCACACAGCTGGGAGCTGGCTTCCTGCCAACACTCCTGCTTTAAAGCTCATCGTAGCCTTCGTCAGATTGCCTCTGAAACCCCACTGCTACATTAGTGGGAAAAGATGGCTAAGGGTGTGGTTTCCTTTTTTTTTTTTTTTTTTTTTTGTGGGGGGGGG